AGGCTCTGTCTCAAAAAAAAAAAAAAAAAAGAAAACCTTTGGGACTAAAATACATGGGTGCCCTTCCTGCCCCTCCCTGGCCTAGAAATAAGAGGCCCACTACATAGCTCAGCCACAGCCTTTACAGCATCCTCAGGTTTCTGACTCCCATAATTTTACCCATGAAATCCAAGAGCTTCTTACCCTGTGCCCCTTCCATGGACTGTGATACACCTGTTATACTATCTGGCACAGCACAGAACCAATAATCAGAGCCATCTGGAATCAGTTGACTGATGCCAGGCTTGTCCTCCATCTACTCTTAGTCCCTATTAGCTATGAGACATACTGTAAGACCAGTGGACCTGCAGAGGAGAAATCTGTAATCAGGGAGGTCTTCCTGCAAGTGGCACTTGAAGTGTATCTTGCTCAAGGAGTAAGTTTTTGACAGGAGTAAGAGAGGGCAAGGACATTCTAGGTGAAGGGCTGCCATGTGAGAGTATGCACACTCCAGCCCAGGTTGCTAGCTTGGAACCAGGATCCTGACCACAAATTTGCAGGTGGGCTTGGCACCCATAGCTCAGTGGTTACGGCGCCAGCCAAATACACCGGGGCTGGCAGGTTCAAACCTGGCCCAGGCCTACTAAACAACAATGACAACAGCAACAACAAAAATAGCCAGGCGTTGTGGCAGGCACCTGTAATCCCAGCTATGTGGAAGGCTGAGGCAAGAGAATCGCTTAAGCCCAAGAGTTTGAGGTTGCTGTGAGCTGTGATGCTACCGCATTCCACCAAGGGTGACATAATGAGACTCTGTCTCAGAAAAAAAAAAAATTGCAAGTTTGCTTTATCATGTACAGAGATAAGCCCAAGGTGTGGCTTGGAGGCAGGGACTACTTACGGACATTGGTGGTAAGTGGAGCTACCATCCTTTTACCTCCCAATGGGACAATCCCTTTTGTGTGTCCCCTTCTTTGACTACAGAAGGGAGTTGGATACACCTTCTGCCCTGGGGCTTCATGGACTTGATCATCAGCAACCCTCCATATGTTTTCCACCAGGACATGGAGCTGCTGGCCCCCGAGATCCTCAGGTGCTGGGTAGGAACATGGATGCCACGCCTGAGAAGGCTTAGTGGGATTGGTCTGCCCTTGAGGACCTCACTATCTAGAAGGGTAGGAGAATAGGTGTTGAAATAGATAGTGGTGTTGAGAGGGTGCATGCCACAGCCCACAGTCCTACCTGGATTCAGCTTCTGCCTTGCCACTTAATATAGCCACTGAACCTCTCTGAGTCTTTTTCCTGCCCCTGAAAAGAGAGGTAGTGCTTTGTAGGGCCTTAAGGAGTACTCAGTGACAACTCAAAAGTATTGGACACCTGTAGGATTCAGAGGAGGTGCTCAGTACATGGATCTATAATTTTATGAAAAACTGAGGCCTAGAAAGGGAAAGTGTCTTGCCTAATGTCAAATGGTGGCTTAGCAGGAAAGTTAAGCCTAAAGCCTTGCTCCAGACTTTGTACAAAGCCAACCTGCTCTTACACAGGGCTGAAAACCAGAGGTACCCCAGAAACCTCCTGGAAGGGACAACAGTAGTATGGATTGGGGTGCTGGCTCTCAGGATTAGTCAGGGCCAGCTCCAGACCTCCCAGACTAAGGACAGGAGCAGCCTAGGGAGGACAGGGCTATCAGTCAGTGGGATTTAGCAAGCATGCCTGGCAGTGCCTGTTGGGGTGCTGCCCACAGGAGGTAGGGGAGTAGGAGCTGCCATCCCTATGGGGGTCATCTTCTCTGACTTGACTCTCAGCTCAGGGTGTAAATTTCCAGAGTGTAAGTTCCATGGGCTCCCTTTGTAGAGACTCCTCCATACTTTTCAGACATCCCCTCCCTCAAGCTCTCACTTCCCACTTTTTTCCCATTCAGCTATGAAGACCCAGCGGCCCTGGACGGTGGGGAAGAAGGCATGGACATCATTACCCAAATCCTGATGCTGGCACCCCAGCTCCTGAAGTATTCTGGGTATGAATGGGACTGTTCTCCTGTGTCTGCCCCTAGCAGCCTCCTCTGGACTGGACGTGCTTTGGCAGTCATTCTGCACACACTTAACTCTGGCAACCCAGAGGTGCAGGCTCCACCCTTGCCCAGTTGAACCCACCCATTTCTCCCCCATGTAGAAGCATCTTCTTGGAAGTGGATCCAAGGCACCCAGAGCTTGTTAGCAGCTGGCTTCAGAGCCATCCTGACCTATACCTTAATCTCGTGGCTGTGCGCAGGGACTTCTGTGGGAGGTGAGGCTTTGCCCCTTTCATCTGCCATGGCCGCGCGCTTGTCTTTCCACTGAGGCCATCCATTGCCCTGGCTGTGGGGAAAGTGTGCTGTTCCCCACCCCTGCTCATTCCCTGGAGCCCAGAAAGTAACCAGCCCCTTTGTCTCTGTTTTCTCAGGCCCCGGTTCCTGCATATTCAGAGGTCTGGGCCATAGCATGGCTGGTATGTGTGTACCTGGCAAGGGGAACCAACTTGTTTGAGTGCCTGGTTGACCCTTCTTGGAATTTTACTCAGAAAAAGGTGGATGATACTTTTCAGGTGTTTATAGCATTTCCCATGGTGTTGTGATTCCCTGTGCTCTACATTTCTGGGATACTTAAGGGTAAAAAACAAAGGCCAGAGTATCCTTCCAGGGGAGGCAAAGATCAGAGACATCCACAGTGTGTGGCTTAGGAGCTGGGCAGACCCAGCTTCCCAATTTGGCCAATCAGCAATCAGGGCAGGTTGCTCATGGTCTCTGTTGGTAAAATTGCTGTGTGGGTACCAGATGTGGCCAGTAAAGTATCAGGAAACTGACAAATGGGGACCTAATTATTTTTGTTAACCATGATTTGTGGTACCCTTACCTCCAACTGTTATTGGGAATGAGGTTCTTCTACCTCAGCAGGGTTGGCTGTCAGTCCTCTGTGTGGTACAGAGGTGGAAAGCAGCACATGGGCACTCCTTTCCAGCCTTGGATACCAGGGGAATTGGCATTGAGCAGCTCACTACCAAGAGTTGCCTTAGTCCACCCTTGCCCTGGGTCCTCACTAGGCCTGGGCTCTGAGCACAGAAACCTTCAGCTTGGAGGTGACTGCCTGCTTCCTGGAGGGAGTGGGGCTGAGGCTACCTAACCATACAATTTTGGGGTTGTACATCCACATTCATTTAACTGAAGTTTTCAGCCAGTGAGAGGTGAGCAGGACTTTTGTTTACTTTTTATTCCCATAGCTTTTAGCTAATACATATCTTCTGAGTTGGCCTTGGGGCTTCAAATAACCCATTTGTCCTGATTGGGGCTGGGAAGAATGAGAACCCAAGAGAGTGGGCACAGGGTTTTTGCACAAGGTTGTGACCTCAACTTTATCTCTGGGCTCTGGTCTGTCCAGGCTCATGGCCACCAGGACATGGGGAGGGAGGGCCCTATACCTTCATGCATCTTTCTGGTGCTTGACACCAACATGAGGCAGGCAGAGACAGTCTTGGGCTCTTAACTCCTCTCTGCCCTCTGGAGTTGGAGCCAAGAAGCTGGTAGCCTGGCAGCCCCCATCTTCCCTCCTCACCAGGGCCTGAGGCCAAGGCCAAGGTAGCCAGTGGCTCTAGATCAGGGAAAGGCAGGCTTACCTGTCCTATCCCCTCCTCTGCTTTTGAGGCCAGAGCCAGAGACTAGAGCTGCCTACTGTGGCACATGTCAAGAAGCCCTTGCAGGCAGAAGGGAGGAAGACATGGAGCTGATGGTGGTGTCCAGGCTCTGCAAGCCCCTAAGTGTAGCAGACCATATAGCTTATAGGAAGGAGAAGCAAGAATTAAGCTCAGAATACTCTGTAATTATAAGAAACATCAGTAACATCTCAATAATACAACATCTTGGTGATAAGGGCATGGGGAAGGGATTCGGCTCTCCTAACATAAAAGCTCACGGGATGAGAACATCAGTGATTGCAGTGTCTACACCTGTGGTACAGATAGCCACGAGATTACGTCTATAAGCTGTAGGAGAAGGCAGTTGGGGAGCGCTCGCAGATCCGCTCACTGACTCTTTCACTTCTGCTTGGACGGCCCCTGCCTGGGGCCCATCTAAGAAGACTGCTAAGATTCACTGTCTTACTAAGAGGCAAGGTCAGTATCCAAACCAATTTTGGATTTCTGACCTCCAGAATTATAAGATGATAAATTTGTTATTTTTAAACCACAAAATTTGTGGTAATTTGTTATACCAGCCACAGGAAGCTAATATAGATGCTGTTCCTAGCTGTCTATAGGGATGGTCAAGCTCTATTGAAATGTGCCTCCCAGCTCCCTAATTTAAAGAAACCCTTTTCTGCTTCCCCCCCATCATTTGGACCCTGGGCCATCAACTATTCCCAATCCCTTTCTTAATCCCTTGGCTGACTCCCCATGCCCTAAGTGTAGTGTCTGTGTCAGGCAGAATCTACTTCTGAAAGGCGGTGGGGGTCGGTGGGGCAGCAGCTGTGGGAAAGGCCTCAAGGACCCCTACCAAGTCCCCATCCGTGTTTTGAGTAAGCCAACATCCAAACAAAGGATTCCACTGCTGACAAGTTTTGAGAACAGCTGGCTTGAAGTGGGAAACCTCCCCAGACCAGCATGTCTTTCTCTGGCTATCTTCAGATTCTTTATTTTTTCCTGCCCAGGACTTCAGCCTCCCTGCAATAGTCTCCACTCCCTGAACACACCTTCCCCTTGTCCTGGCAATGTCTCCATGAGGAGTGAGTGCCTTTGCCCACCACTGCCAGTCCAAATCATCCCTTTCTTTAAACTCTAACACAAATGCCATCTCCTTTTGGACACTTGCCTTGGCCTCTTTGTTCTCCTCACTTCCCTTAGCCCATGTGTCTGCCAGCATCAGTGCCATTCTGTCCTATGTATTCAGAAATCTTCCTGTTTTCATCTGTCTGCAGCCCCCAGTGCTGCAGTGCTGGATATCTGGCATATCCAGTTCAGTAAGTTTCTACCAGACAGTATATGCATTTTCTAGAATACAGCTGAGACTTACCATGTGACCCACATCTGACCTGACAGCCCACATATTCTGGTCAGCAGGGAGAGGAAGCCATGAGGGCCTGGCCTCCTGCCTGGGCCAGGCAGCAGTTCAAGTTGAGCCATGGCTGCTTTAAGGACTCAAGTGCACCTGATCCCTGCACAGCAACTACGCCAGGAGAACAGATTGTCCTTGGTGGCAGCAGGTGAAGGCACTAGGTTTCCTGGAGCTCTTGGCCTCAGCCAGCCCCCAGCCAGGGGGTTGTCTGAGAAAGCTGTCTGATTCCCCCACTCATGACCCCTCAGGACCCCTGGACTGGACTAGAAGCTGGCAAAGCAACCCCTACCCCCCTTCTTATAGACAGAATAATGGTCCTCAAAGGTGCCCATGCTTATTACCTAAGCCTATGACCATGTTGCCTTACATAGCAAAAAGGACATTAAGGATTTGAGATGGATAGATTATCTTAATTTATTCAGGTAAGCTCAATGTAATTACAAGGGTCTTTTTATTTTTTTATTTTTTGAGATGGAGTCTCAAGCTTTTGCCAGGTAGAGTGCGATGATGTCAAAGCTCACAGCACCTTCCAACTCTTGGGCTCAAGCAATCCTCTTGCCTCAGTTTTTCTGTTTTTAGTAGAGATAGGGTCTCACTTTTGCTCAGGCTGATCTTGAAATCATGAACTCAAGCAATCCACCCGCCTCAGCCTCCCAGAGTGCTAGGATTACAGGCGTGAGCCATCATACCTGGTCTTTATGAGAGGGAGGTAGGAGTCAGTGAGAGAAGATGTGACAATGAAAGCAAAGGTCAGAGTGATGGAATTATTGGGAGAAGGGCCATGTACCAATTCATGCATATAGCTTCTTTCCTAGAGCCCCAAGAAAGAATGCAGTCCGGCCAACACCTTGATTTTAAGCTCAATGAAACGAATTTGGATTTCTGACCTCCAGAATTATAAGATGATAAGTTTGTGTTGTTTTTAAGCCACTAAATTTGTGGTAATTTGTTACAGCAGCCACAGGAAGCTAATACAGATTTTGGTGGCTGACATAGAGTGCTATCATAACAAACACCTAAAAATGAAAGTGGCTTTGGGATTGGAATTTAGAAATGGGCAGGAGTTGGAAGAATCTTGAGAAACCTGATAAATTACCTTAAATATCTCTCCTCAGAGAGGTGATATGGCCAGGATATGGGGCTCCCTGCTCTCCTAGCCTGTAGACCTAGCTTCCCAGGCCCTTACCTATACATCTTAGCATGTTTGAGGAGAGCTGTCCCTTTTTTGGAGCAAGAAGACTGGAAGATGGATTAGGGTGGGCCTCAGAGAGGCTGGCCCGGGCACTGAGAGTGGATGTGGGATGGGACTGCGATTGAGGGGAGAGAGCCCAAGGCTGGTCTTCATGGCTCATCTCCAGTGACATGGGGGCCACCCTGGCCTTCAGAGAGGACCTCAGAGATTGGATCCAAGTCTGGTTCTGGTCCCTCATGGAGTTGTGCAGCTCGCCCAGCAGCCCTCAAATGTATGAGAATGAATAGGAGCCTTGTATTCTTGAGTTGCAGGTATCACATCTGTCAAATGATTATAATAGCCTCTAACTTTCTCTCAGGTCAATCTGATGGGCCTGACTCCTTCATTTAAGTTATGGAGGATTGGGTTCATTCCAGCTGCCAGGCAGTGCCCAGTTCCTGCTATAGTCTGAGTAGGGCTATGTCACCCTTCTGTTCTTAGGGTAGAATCAGGTCATTCTAGAGTCCTCAGCCTCTTAGTCCCAAACACAAGTAGCTAACTGGTACTCTTAACCCTATCCCTTATCCAGGCTGGGATAAGGACTGTCACTTTGTGGAAGGAGACTATGGAAGTACCATCCCATCAGGCCAAAGCTTGGGCTCCTGAAGCCAAGTCCTAACCCAGGAGCCACATGGAGGGCTACTGGGAGGTTGGAGCTGGGCTGCCGTGCTTCATGCTGGGTACAACAGCTAAGAAGTTGGGGGACAGATAGTTTGGACACCTGGGCTTAAGGGTTAGCTTGGCCCCAAATCATCTGGATAAGCTTTGGATGAAGCCAACAAGGCCTGTTTGTACTGAAAGAGGGTGAATTACGGCAAGACTCAAGTCCAATCCTTGATTATCCTTCCCAAACAGAGGAAGAAGCTTACTTGAGGAGTAATAGCACTTTCCTCCTGACTCCTGGTACAGTGCTCTTAGTTTCTATTGCTTCCAAGGGCCCATGGTTGGTTAATTAGATGGTGCTTATACAGCTCTCCATGTAGCTCCTAAACCCAGGGATTCTGGCCCTTAAAACCCTGTGGGCTAGCTCAGCACCTATACTCAGTGGTTAGGGCACTGGCCACATGCACTGGGGCTGGTGGCTTTGAACCTGGCCCGGCCCTGCTAAATGACAATGACAACAATAATAAAAATAGCCGAGTGTTGTGGTGGGTGCCTGTAGTCCCAGCTACTTGGGAGGCTGAGGCAAAAGAATTGCTTAAGCCCAAGAGTTTGAGGTTGCTGTGAGCTGTGATGCCACAGCACTTTACCAAGGGTAACATAGTGAGACTCTGTTTCAAAAAACAAAACAAAAACAAAAACCCTCTAGGCCAAGTTCATGAGCAGATGTTAGCCATATTAGCCCAGCTATAGCCCCTGGGAGTATGGAAAGATCTGGAGCCCATCTGAAGACAGTAGCTATGAGGAGAACAGGGTTTCTCCTGAGTGGGTACCACCCCCTCTGAGGGAACTGGCCCCTAGCCCCTGCCCCTCAGTGGCCTCCTTGGGTATCTGGAAGTACCTTTGGGCATCTTTGGCCTCATAACCAGAATTC